AATTTCAAATGAGAAGGAATTGGGCTACATTATTTGGATCTGGATGATTTTATACATAATGTTGCAACAGCAAAAGTACGATAAATCAATTTATAATATAAAATTTACTTTTATTATTATATTTGTATTCACTATAAAATTTTAAGTGGCTACTTAACTGTGTTTTTAACTTAAGCTAGTAGGGGTTTACTAATCCATAACTGAAATTATGTAGTTAACACGTTGGTGGACAGTACTGCTATAGCAGTAATTTCAAAAATTGATGTCGGGGGACACTTTCAAATATTACTGTTATAGCAGTAATACGAAAACCGTCGAAAAAGAGCATGTCAGTGCATTTTTTCTCCTTTTGACCCACGCACAAGATTATTATTATTATCAATATTAATCATTATTGTGAACGTAAAATTTGCTATGTTGTGTGTGGGTCAAAGAGAAAAAAACATTCACTGTTATTTTAATTTTAATCGTTAATTATAAACAAATAAAATATACAAACACAGAAGTTTGTTGGTTTTAATTTTTTTATTTATATAAAAAAATATTTAATGTAAAAAATCCTCGAGAAAATCTTATAGGCATTAAACGATTGATCCAGACCTACCTATTTAGTACTGAGAAAATGTATAAAAAGCTTGACATAATATAGAATAACACAAGTTGTTAAGTAAAGGGATCCAATTCATCAAAATTATGAACCTGTATTAAATATTGAATTTTGACATTCCTATAGTTCTGAGATTTACCCTAATACTCTGAAACTGTTAACTATTGTACTAAGTTAATTTGACAAGAATTTCTTTTATAATAAATACATAGACTTAATACTAATAGACATTAGACAGCACATGGTAGTTCCAGCATTGAATGTGGATAACATTGATTGTGTTATTCAACACTTCTAAGCAGTGTGTGTATCCACCAGATTTTAAAACAAAAACAACATAAATATGTAATTACTGTAATATATCCATCATGATTCATGAAAATATTAATATTTCATACAAGTGTCAAATAAATTTAAGGAATTATGAATATACTTGTATTAATTCTAACTAGAAACAAAGAATAAAAGTAGTAATTAGTATTAGAGTAATTTTGTGATAGTAACTGGTCTGGTTTCAGATTTCAAAGTATCCGTTATATCTAGGCAGGTACCTATTGCCGTATTATAATAAAACATAGCGACTTGCCGTTAACGCACCACCCATCCCTGACAGCAATATAATTTGCTTCTTTATTAGTATAAATTCTGTGAATAAAATATAAAAAAAATACTTAAGCTTAATGAAACATTTCAATTTACCTTCAAGAACTTTGGACCATTTCTGTTCATTATCGTTTTCTTTGATATTTTTTTTAGACTCGTTTCTTACGGTTGTTACAGGACTATCTTGTAAGCGTTCAACCCCGCTTACGTTGAGGCTGTCGGTTGATGCAATTGAAACATTACTTGACCTCGCACTGGCACCCATCAAGGAGTATAATTCTTTATGCCCCTCGAACATTGATTTCAACAATTTTGGCGTGGGAATAAATACTCTTTTGGGTCTTGTCGGAGTGTCAAATAATAATTCTTCGTGAGGAAATTTCTTTTTTTTTGAGCCTGGTGTCTTCCTTATTGATTTGTTTTTAACCACTTTGTCACTAACACACTCTTCGGGTATCAGCTCACCAAACAGGTCTCTGTGACCTTCCAACGATGTTTGGGAATCATTAGTCACGTCGATAGATAAATCTTCACACAAATCTACATCACGCTCTAATGATGTTTCATCCAAATAGTCAATTTGCAGTTTCCTTTTATTACGACGACTAACTCGTGGAGACGTAATTTGCCGCGACATAATCGTAATTGTACACGATTAGGTATTAACTAAATAATAATATTTATTAAATTAAGTCACAATAGGTATATTAACTCTTATTATTTTCAATAATATTCCAAAAATCAAAAATGTATAATATATGAACTGCCACTAAACACTGAAGTATAATAGGTAACTTACTAACTTACTGGTGTAGTGGTGTGTCGTGTGTGAACAACAAGCAACGAGGCGCGGCGACGCTAAGGTGCATTTGTCACTTATCATTTTCTGATAAGGAGGCAACCGCTAATTTTACACGATTGGATCATCGCAGGAAAAATTTTTTTGTGATTCATGATGTCAAAAATGTCCACCAGAGTGAATCACGTCTAGTCTTATCCCTATCATCTTATCAGTTATCGTTGATAAAAAAACGATTCATGATAATATAGTAATATACAGCAGTATAGTGATTATGTGATTTGAATTTTTGATTATTTATTATATTTTATGTTATTTTATTTTATTCATCAATCATTATTAAATAATTTAAAACAATGTTTAATTGCCAGGTTTGTGATGCTAAATATGTATCAGTGTTTGGTTTAAATTAGCATTTAAGAACAAAACATAAAGATACTCCGAAAGTTAAAAATCTATATTATTGTAATGACTGTGATGCATCATTTGATTTGAAATCTAATATTATAAAACACACTAAGACTCATTTATAGTACTGGATTTAGTGAGAAATATTGTTGTACAAAACTAACTACATTTGAATATGATATAAGAATAATAAGAAGAATAAATAACATCATTAATAAGTAATAACTATACTAAGATACTCAGTAGTATAGTACCGCAATATTGTGAATAAAAACACAAAACATGGCTATTCAAAGCATTATCATTTAGTTGATATTTACGTGGTAACTACATACTATAAGTTACAACTGTACTCTATGTACTACTTAAGTAGCTTATAAATAAATAAATTCGTTATCGTTCAACGAGTATTCCCAATTCCCCGCGTCCGATTTTTTATGGGGAGGGAGGGGTCACACACTGTTTAAAATTTAAAAATAGCAAAAAAAAAAAATTATAAAATACATAAAAAATAGCAAATACGACCAATGCGGGGGGAGGGGGGCATGGACCCTGTGGCTCCCACTGGGTGGGTGGTAGGTCAATCAAAAAATGAATTGCCCGATAAAATATTTCACTTCGCCACGCCACTGTACTAGGGACTAGGGTATAAAGGGTAATATTTATTGATATCGATAGATTTATATTAATGACAGCAATTGTCTAATCACCATAGCCCTCATACCTTCTAAACTCATTACTATGTGGATCTTATATCCTTAGAACTCAAAGTTAAATAACACAAAAACTACCAGTAAAAATTTTAATTTTCATACGTCAAAAATTTCAGAAAAATTATTTACTGTATAATTAATAGTTGAATAGCCGTGTTCTCATTTGGAAAACAAAAGTTTGTATCCAAACAGAACACTCCTTAAGTAGGACAAAAAAACACAAAAATGTTGAAATACTATTTAATATTTTCATAATTCATAAGCGTTGAAGTATTTTATTCCTTATACGTTTAAAAAGTATCTTACCCACGTCCGAAATAGCTTAAAATTAGTCTAAATAGTTTGAAAATATTATATTATGTGTATGAAAAATCAATATTAAATCAATATACTATAATATTTAATAATAATATAATATACTTACACCATAATTAAACTACAATTATTACCATGATAAACATTTAAATTTGTAATGTTATTTCTTAAAAACATATATATTTCGATAGTCTTAAATTATTACTATACGATATCGAATTCCAGTGAAGTATTGAAAATATTAAACAAAGCAAACTTCAGAAAATTGTATTTAATATGTTATGCGATTTTTTTAATTTGTATAATTCGCGATGTTCAACAGGCAACAATATGTTCTAAGACAATATAGGTTTCTTTATACTCGTATAATATTGATCCAGCTTAAATAAAGAGATGTTTAATATAAAGTAAAACTTAGTATTTTAAATTATAATATTTAAGTGTATTATACGCTACAGAATATGTGGTGTGTATAATACATGGAATAAAATATAAAACTATTACGGAGTAAGAATAGTACTATTATTGAACAAGATGCACTATATGTGTTGAAAACGTTTTGTGGAGGGTTGCAAAACCCTGCGGTTTCGTTTTCGACATATTTCAGAGGAAACAGGTGAAATCGCTCTGCAAACGATCATTGGCGTGAGCAGGTGGCTGGTGTAACATGCTGTAGGTGTATTGTCAGCATCAT